GAAAGTTGCTCTTAAAATGAATTCTGTGATCATGGTTTTTAATAGGTGGGTTTTCACCAGCTTTCTCTGATATTTGTGGTCACCTCCTCAGTGCCCTGTGGAACTGGCTTTCAGGGCTAGAGCTGGGCAGGACATTTGAAGATAAGAATGTTAATACTCCCCATATCTACTTCTATTGAGCCAATATTTGAAGACAATGTCATTAACATTTGGAACACAGGACACATAGAAGAGGTATTTCAGGATCCATCTTAATGCCTTCTTTCTCTTTTATTAATTGTGATATAATTCCTATATCATAATGTTTACATTTTTAAAGAGTATAATTCAATGGTTTTTAGTATCTTCACACAGTTGTGCAACCATCACCACTATCTCCAGAATATTTTAGTTTTCCCAAAAAGAAACCTCATACACACTGGCACTCACCCCTACATCCCTCTCTCCCAGCCCCAGACAACCACTAACCTACTTTCTCTCTATGGATTTGCTTGTTCTGACCATTTCATATAAATAGACTCATGCAATATTTGTCCTTTTCATGCCTGGCTTCTTTCACTTAGCATGCTGTTTTCAAGGTTCATCCGTGCTGTAGCATCTATCAGTACCCCATTGCTTTTTATGGGCAAAAAATATTCCATTATAAGGATGTATCACATTTTGTTTATCCATTCATCCACCAGTGGATGGTTAGGTTGCCTAAACTTTTTGGCTGTTGTGAAGAATGATGCTGAGAACTTTTGTGTATAAGGTTCTGTGAGGACATATGTTTGCAGTTCTCTTGGGTATGTACCTAGGAGTGGAATGTTTGGGTGTCTGGTCTACCTTTCTTCAAATAATCATATTAGTAACTTGAGGAAAAGGGGAATGAGTCTACTCTGGATCCATTAAGAAACAGAAGGGTACGTATTGGTAGAGAACCTATGGTCTTTGAGGAAGATCTCATTGTTCTCTACTCTCCAACTGCTAAAGAACGATATAACTAATTCCTGACTTATTGAAAATAAATCCATATGTAGACTATAATTCCCAGTGTTTTCTTCCCATGAGACCTGAGGGATGTCATACCCTCCTGTCACTTCATCTCCTGCGCCATGATTTCCCCATGGTGGAGGGAGCTATGGGTGTAGCCAAAAGGAAGAAAGATGTCAGAGTTTATCAAAATTTGTGTGTGGATGAAGGGCGTGGGTGAGTATAATTTGAAAAGAACCTATTGATGTTTCCTCCATCCTGCAGTAGACTTAGCTTTTATTATAATGAGAGTGGAGCCTTCACACTGTGGGATGGGGATGCGTTGGGGGAGGAGGACAGTTGGGGGCAGGCAGCCATCTGTGTATAAAAAATGAACACGTGGCTTTGCTTGTGAAACCCTGCAGCTGCTTTCCTAGCAATGATGTTATTTTGATGGCCTCCTGTTTTCGGACCTATCCGGGTTTTATTTATGCCAGTGTGAAGAGCAATGTCCTGTGAATCAGAGACGTGTTTGGCACAGTAGACTTGTCATTTTGGATTGTAATACTAGGAAGGGCCTCACACTAAGAGGAAAGGTGCCTCTGCCGGCCCGGAGGAGCCCAGCCGAGCACAGATCCCAGCTGGAAGTCCATCCGGACTGTGGGAGGACCTGCTTCCGGTTAGAGAATGGGCTCACTAGAGAAGCTTTTTATCTGTGCGGGATCCGCAGTGGACTATCCAGAGAAATGGACTTTCTTCCCAACTATGTTTCCTTTATCCTGTAATCAGGGCAGAAGAAAATCAGCTAATTCCTCATTGGGAAATGCCACTCCTGTCCCCTCTCTACCTCCCCCCGCATCGCACACATCATCATCATCATCATCACCATCACCACCATCATCACCAGCACCACACAGGGGACCCAGATAGTCTGCAGAGATGTTAATGCTGTATAATTGCCTTTCCTTCTCTGGGATTTTTCCTTTCCATACAGGCCTTTGGGGCCTGAGCCGAAAAGAATGTGATAGATGTTGGAATGTAATTTGGTCTCTTTATGTACAAAGCCAAACCCTCCATTTAGGGCAAGCCCTATCAAGGTAAGCATTATACTCTGCAAACTGAATGATGAAATGGTTCTCTTTTGCCATGGAACTCTTTCTAATACTTTATTTTTTAGAGCAGTTTAGGTTCACAGCAAAATTAAGTGAAAAGTACAGAGAGCTCCCTCATAACCACCCCCACACCCCCGAACAGCATCCTGCATTATCAACTTTTCCCACCAGAGTGGGACGTTTGTTACAATTGATGATCCTACACTGACACGTTATAATCACTCAAAGTCCGTAGTTTACATTAGGGTTCACGGTTGTGCATTCGCTGGGTGTGGACAACTGTGTAATGACACGTATTCCCCTAATTACAGTGTCACCCAGAATAGTTTCATTACCCTAAAAATCTGCTCCACCAGTCATCCCTCCCTTCCCCTAACGCCTGGCAATCACTGATCTTAGTTAAAAAGTCTTCTTTAACATTCAGCCCAAGCGCTCCTGTTCCTCCAGGTTGAATCCGAGTCTGTCTCTACAAGTATGCAACTCATAGAATTCTGTGGATAATTTTCCTCAAAGCATCGTTGCAGTATGATGAGAGCCTCTGTTTGTGTGACTGTTTTCCCCACTCAAGGATGGGGGCCTATGGAGAGCGTGGCCCATCACAGGCTTGTTGTAATGAATGTGATGGCAGAGACAGGGCTGACCCCCTGTACATGGTACTCTTTCCACAAGACTTGAAAAATACAGCTCTGTTGTTCTTGTTTAACGAGAGCTGTCATTATAGTAATTGTTATTTGAATTTATTGATGAGAAGCAAGGTGTAGTCCATGGTAATATTTTTGAGTGAAGTAGCCAAATGCTCTAATTCTTAAAAACCTCCTTCAAACATAGAAGGCAAAATATAAATAAGTCAAGGGACTCATGAACGTCAAGAAAATTAGATAAGTTTGTTGAATGAGGGTCGCCTAGTCTGTCTTTACTTTATGAACTGAAGGTCTCCTGTCTCCAGGGATTTTAAAGTATTTTTGAGCAAACTAGAGATAGTCATGATGCCAGTAATATTTTGTTTATGTTGGTGAGTGGGGAAGGGGAATAGAAATATATCTCAAGCAGCCTCTGAGCAATCCTTGGGAGTCAATATCTACAAGTTTTTCAACTCCCCAGATAAGTCAGTCCGATGTGGTTTTTACAGGTTCGCAGGAGAGAGGCGGAAACATAAAAGAGCGAGCTGGTTTCCAGGACAGTGGCTCCTGGTAATAAGGGGATGGTAAAGAGGTTAAGTTTCAAAGTCCGCATAGAAGCCGCAGCCATGGAATCCGGAGTGATTGTCGCTGAGGCTTTAAAGCCTGTGGATGTGGCCTGCTGTGCACAGACAGTGGCTCTTGGTTTTTAACCCGGAGCAAAGTGGCAGTTGAGCACAAAACACATGCAGTGCCTTCTGGGGCTACTGACTATGCTGGGCTAATGCTCAGGAATTAACCGGCAACTAAAAGAGCTAAAAGAAAGCATCAGAATATGGGAAACCCTAAGGCAAGCTGGCTGACTAATCAAGATTATTTTGGACTAGTCCTCCCATAGGGGGTTTTGTTTCAAAGCAAGGTAACCCATCCATCACCAGCTAAATAAAGCCCTAGCAAGATCAATACAGTCACGGTAAGACGAGAAAGTTTAGGATTAAAGCCCTTGCCACAGTGACCTGTGCAAGCATACCGTGGAAAGCAGGGCTTCTCAAGTTCTCCTGTGCGCACAACCCACCCAGGAGTCTTGTGGAAATGGGGGCTCCAGTTCAGTAGGTGGGGCTGGGGCCTGGGATCTGCATTTTAAAACAGCACCTGTGTGATACAGAGGCCGCAAATGCAGTCACTTAAGCAAACGGTTTGCTTTTTCCTCTTTTATAACAGATCATGAAATTGTCTTCTTGTAAAGCTCTCTGACAAGATAAGTCTGTTGTTAACAGTCCTGTTCATTTCTGGAGGGCTTAGAAATAAAATTCTTATTTCTGTCTCCTGCTTTAAGAAAAAAGGAAGGGAGTGGAACTTTCTTCATCAATGGCATCATGAAACAGTCATTTGAAGAAACTCCAGATTCAGTTGTCTTATTTGGGGCTGAAAATACAACATTTATTTTACTGATGCTTCTGATTTCTTTTTTCATTTTTTAAATGTTTTTATTGATTAGAGACAAAGGGAGAGAGAGAGAGAGAGACATCAATGTGAGAGAGAAACATTGATCAGCTGCCTCCTGCATGCCCCTACTGGGGATCAAGCTGCAACCTGATCGTGTGCCCTTCAAACTAGCAACCTTTTGGTGCATGGGACAACGCTCATACAACTGAACCACACAGGCGAGGGCGATGCTTCTGATTATTGAATGAAATTAAATTAAATCCAGTATGTTGCCTACATATAACAGGAGTAATAGTAGCAAAAAAAATGTTTAGCTAGAAGATCCATAGAACAATCACTGTTCTGGTTAAAACTTGAAAACAATGGCTGGCTGATTTGAGCATCAGATGGTCTTTAGTCCAGGACCATCTTGTGCTTGGACAGGTACTATCACATGGTCATGGCACAGAGTTTGAAGGCAAACTCTCTGGATTCTAATCCAATGAGTCCCACCATTTACTGACGGAATACAGTGGTTTACTCACCTGTAAAATGGGTCTGTACTCTACAGATATTACTGGATTAGGTACGTACCATCTGTAAAGCTCTTAGAACAGTGGGCGGCACACCTCCGAGCTATGTAAATGCTTGTTAAATATATGACTAAAATAAAGTGAGTCCATGCCACGTCTTAGTTGCTTTGTGGAATCCAGAAGGCCTGTTTCTCTTTTTGCCAATTAAATATCACTCTGAAAGCCTTTCCCAGCTGATAGCTGGGTCCGAAAGAAAGGGCTTTTCAGCCAACAAACAGGAAACCGGAAACAAATCCGTGGAGCGTAGGAGTTCATTGATTTTATTGTCTAGTTAGACTCACCTCGGTCCTTTGGTTTTGCAGCTGGTGATGTACATTGGCCAGGTGGCCAAGGATATCCTGAAGTGGCCCCGCCCCTTCTCCCCTCCGGTGGTGAAACTGGAGAAGAGAGTGATTGCTGAGTTTGGAATGCCATCTACCCATGCCATGGCGGCCACCGCCATTTCCTTCACACTCCTCCTCTCCACGATGGACAGATACCAGGTAAGGCGCCTGACTCCTCTCCCTCCCGGGGGAGGCTCTCCACACAATGAGGGAACAGAGAGAGGTTCCACTTCAGAGTTTTCTTTCAAAGCTGCTTTGAGGGACTTTGAGGTTCATGAAATGAAGCCTAAGAACTGAAACCTAGTGAGCTGTTGATGACAATGTCTTCCTAAGTAAAGTGACCTACGATTTAGCATCCAAATCAGGTTGTGCCTAAGAACGAAAGTGGGCACCATTAATACTGAGACCAGCATAACAGGGACTGTCTGGGAACTGGGGTGTGTAGACTCCCCTGCAGAAAGCATTTCCCCCTGAACTGCCTGACGAGACAGCACTTGAATGGGTGCTCACATCCTGTTTGCATCAGACACGAGGCATTTATGATCCTAGTAAATGATCCCCCAGGGCCGAGATGAGTTCACCAAATCCTCCTGCTAGACTTCCCAGGGCCAGGGGCAAAGAGTCTGTGCCCCAAATGATTCCCAAGGAGGCCTCCGCCCCTGATTGGGGCTCAACCATTAGAAGTAATGGCTCCATGTTTTCTAGAAAACGGTCTAAAATACAGGAGATTTTCATAAATGCTGAACACAGAAGAATTTCACTTAATATCTGCTTACATGCCAATTAGTGTCAGGACTTTCAAAAGTTAGATTATTCCTGCAATGAAGTTCTGTTTTGCCTGTCTGAGAGCTCTTGCCCTAGTTTTAATTTCATAATTTTCCTTTTGATCCATTGGAAAAGGTAGATTTCATGAAGTCTAGCAGTCCTATTCATAAATGACAGCAATGTTTTGCCCTGTCCGCACACCCAAGAAACCCATTCTATATGCCAGGGTGTACAGGGATGGGGGGTCAGCCTGGTCGGGTTGGAAGAAGACAAGATTAGTATTGGGTCCTGGCTCCCCCTTTGCGGTCATCTACCTGGTCACGTGGGGTTAGACCTCAGTTTCCTAAATGGGAAAGGGACAGGTGTAAGGAATATCTCTGAGCAGTTATAGAAAACTTGTGTTGTAACTTTCTTCGGTGTCATGTCAGGATCAGAAATGTCTGATTGCCCCAGTACCACCTGAATTAATTTAATGTAGGTTTCTGAGTTAGGCCACACCCAGTGGGTGACTGTGGGCCCAGCATCGGCCCCCACTGGGCTGCTTTCATCTCCAGAGAGGCCTATGAACATGCTGATGTGACTTTGGGGAGAAAAAAAAAAACACAGCAAGTAGAGGCTCACCGCAGGGATACCAATGCCACCACCATTTATACGCTCATTTTGAGGCCACCTGGGCCTTTTAAACAAATTCTTTTAGTTCACATGATGCAACAGTTTTCATAAGGCCTGGGTTGTTATGGTCTTCTTTCCTGTTTAACTTTAGAGGTAAATATATTTAGCTACTTGAGTTGTTGCTCCTAAATAACACTAAGTATGGGATTCATTTGTACAAATATGTAGTGAGCTTAATACCAGACTCTAATTTCAGAATGCATTGACTCAATTTTAGCACCCTTTTGATGAAAAACTGACACCCAGTTAATGATAAACTTTAAGAAATGAGACATAGCCAAGTATCTCTGTACTCACATGTTAGGTTGGAAAGGCTGTGCTAGACTTGGGCTCAGAAGGTGTGGCTTCTGGTTCTGACTCTGGTCAACTTCTGGCTGTGTGACCTTGGGAAAGTCACTTTGCCTCTCTGAGCTCCAGCTCCTGTTTGGAGGATCAGCTGTGAGGATTGATGGGGAAGCATCTTTGTGCTCAAGTTTAATACTAATATAACTTGTGACCAAGGGTTTCCTCATTTGTAGAATGTGGCTAATGATAGAACCTACCTCATAGAGTTGGGTGAAGATGAAATGAGATTGTGACTGTAACGTGCTTTGCATAATATAGGCAGCTCTCCACTGTCTTTATTCTTCTCCATGGAAGACCACAGACATTTGACCTGGAAGCACAAGGGTTATATCTCCATGTATAGTTCATAAGCAGAATATTCGTATGTTCTTATATGGTTTGGCACCAGCCACATTCCTTGGTCTGCTATCCCACCAGCAAATGTTGAGATTTGGTAAAGTTGATTCTACCTTGACATCTGGGCATAGATATGTCCATTCTTAGCCTGGGCCCATTGCTGCCAAGCTTCCTCACGGCACCATGTGTGAAGTAGGTGACTGGACTTCCTGATCCTAGCGCTGTCTGTCTGGCCCCTTAATCAGCACTGTATACTTCATACATTTTACTCTAAGCATAGGTGGAAATAAATAATTATCTACTCCACTGATGCAGCCAGCACAATAGCTGTGAACATGAGTCTTCAAGCCCCGTTCTGCTAGGTCTCATGTTGTGAAACTTCCTCCCAGAACTAGATCCCCAGGCATCTTGCCCTTTCTTCCCTCTGTTTTCCCTTTTCCACGTGTCTCAGGTCATCGGGCCGCTGGCCTAGGGCATGCGAGGTCAAGACAGCAGTCACTGGATCAGGAGTCCTGTTCCCTTCTATCACATTGACTGTGCGTGTGTGTGAGAACGCAAGATCAAGCCCTTGTTGCCTTTCTTCCCTACAGTATCCCTTCGCTCTGGGGCTGGTGATGGCTGTGACGTTCTCCACATTGGTATCTCTCAGCAGGCTCTACACGGGGATGCACACAGTCCTGGTAAGACATTTTGGTTGAGTCTTGGGGTGATCATCTACGTCAGCGGTTCTCAACCTGTGGGTTGCGACCCCTTTGGGGGTTGAACGACCCTTTCACAGGGGTCGCCTAAGACCATCGAAAAACACATATATAATTACATATTGTTTTTGTGATTAATCTCTATGCTTTAAATATGTTCAATTTGTAACAATGAAATTGGGGGTCACCACAACATGAGGAACTGTATTAAAGGGTCGCAACATTAGGAAGGTTGAGAACCACTGGTCTACGTAATATTGTGGCTGGTGTGTCAGTGTGTTCTTCACACGGTATTTTTTATAAAGCTGTTTGCATATGTAATTACATTTTTCATCAGGCCAGTGAGTTAAGTAATTATTATTTTATGGCACATCCATAATAATGGTAATGAATTACTAAGATAATATCAAGGAGGCTGAGCTGGGCTAGATTCTCGTGACTTTGAAGACGGGCTGGAATAGTGACAGAGACTTGCGTCACTTATTTTCATGTTGGTTTACTGCTGATGAAGCAAGCAGTGCAGGGAGAACACCCAGGGCCGAGGATGGTTTGAGTGGATGCAGTTCCCCACTTAGGTCCTTGCAGAGATGGGCCTGAATTTCAGAGGTCTCAGCTGCCCTTATAGGATAAGGGTCCTGCCAGGTC